GGGGGGGGGGGGAATAGGGAACATTTAATTCACAAACAACACGTGGCCATGGTTGATGATGTCATGTGGAGAACTTTTAAGAATTTATAATGAGTCTTATTGAAGGTTTAGGAAAGTGTTTATTCAGTCCTGACCAATAGAGACAGCCAGCAACAAAGACAGTCTAGAGAACCATAGATAGTACATAGCTATATAGGACCACACAAATGGCCATAAAATGACCAACTTAATTTGATATTCCTTTGAACTTTCCTTCCCAAGAAGTTCCTTTGATATCCCTTTTTTGGATGTTCCTTTGAAATTCCTTTCTCAGGATGTCCCTTTGATTTTCCTTCAGGGTGAAGTCTGAGTATTTTATTGTTTTAGCATACTTTTGCTAAAGGTAGGCACATACAGGTCTCTGTGCTTCTCAGACAATAGCTGTCTTCCCATGATTCGTTGAGGGACACTATGTACTGGAGTTTGCTATACATATGAAATTCATTGTCTGTCTTTATATAATTGCTAAATCCTAATATATATGATTATATTTCAAAGTTGCAATGAGGAAGGCCTCCACAATTCCCTTTTTTAGTTTTTTTTTAAAATACACTTTGTATTCTCAAAATTTAGAAGCTGTCTTCCCATGATTCGTTGAGGGACACTATGTACTGGAGTTTGCTGTACATATGAAATTGATTGTCTGTCTTTATATAATTGCTAAATCCTAATATATATAATTATATTTCAAAGTTGCAATGAGGAAGACCTCCACAATTCCCTTCTTTAGTTTTTTTTTAAATACACTTTGTATTCTCAAAATTTAGAACGTTCAATAGCACTGAGGCTTGCTAATTCCGTGTTGCACTCATTATTATATATCAGGCCAAAGCCAAGCAAAAACAGATTGTATTCTATGTTTCAGGAAAAATGGCATGTTATAGAGTCGTCTATTCCTTAACTCGTGTCTAGGGAGGGAATGCAAAAAAACCCCTACTTGATTGTCAAGAATGCAGTGTCCAGGCCAGTTTGGGGGAAGCATTTTGTGATAGGAAGACCATGGAGACAATATAGACCATCCATCCATCCCCCAGTGCCTTTACTTCCCAGGGAATGATATTGTTTGGGGTAATTCTGAGCATGAAATCAGATAGCAAAGAAAAATCATCTGTAATGGACCAATCCAGAGTAAAGGGGCATTGAAAAGCCTCAGTATGCCCCCTCCACCCATGTGAATCAGCCAGCTGCTGTATTTCTCCTTATACAAAGTGATTCTGGGGGAAACAGGATAGCCCTCCCTGGCCAAGGAATATGGTAGGGCACAGGCATGCCAACTTCCTAAGAGCTACTGTGGAATTGAGTAAACAAAGGAATCTCTTCTCAGTTTGACCTAAAAACCAGGGAGTTAAAACAAGGGTAGAGCTGAGAGAAACAACAAATTTGAAACTTGGTGATTGGGAGATCTCCACAGTCATCAGGTTTACGCAGCATAACTTTACGTCACTGGATTTCCACCAAGATTAGCATAACTTATCATAACTAATAGTGACTAATAGTATTTCAGTTGGGCACCTGGTCGCACACCCAGATGTGCAACTTAGGTGCTTCCCCTAAAGCTTGCAAATGTATTAGTTACAAGCAGCGGTACCAAGATTCTAACCATAGAACATTGTAATAGTAGTAGTAACAACAGCAGGTTGTTGTTGTTGTTGATGATGATGATGATATGCATTCAAGTGTATTCTAACTTATGGTGAGCCTAGACAGTGTTTCTTATAGGCACAGAAATATGTGAAAACGGATTTGATTAATATAAATGCACAAACGCTGTAGCAGAACATCAGAGCAAAATCCATCTAAAGTTTCACCACTTTGGAATCCTACTGATTTCAGTAAACTGAACAGGCATGTAACAAATCACTTGGTTATATTGGTGAGACTTGAAGATGCTTAATAATTTCCAAGTAACAATTTTGAAGCAATTACTGTATTTAAAACATTTGTTTTGGGTTTGTTTTTGTTTTTAAGGGAAAAGAACCCTCTGTCCGCCAACTGGCTTTGTTGCACTTTCGGAACATTATAACACTCAACATTAAATTGGAAGATGCTTTGTCTCGTTCCCGAGCAAGAGTTCCTCCTTCGATTATTCAAATGTTGCTTATTCTACAGGTATGTTATTGGGAGGTGGGGGATAGCATTCTGTATCTTGGTCAAAGCATGCTATCCAAAAACAGCTGCTCATATTGAAGACTTTGTTTTGATGTCCTTTGGACAGGACTTTAGATTATGCCATGCAGTGATTGCCTCCTATGCAGTCATTCATATAAAGGGACAGGTCCCTGAGATTAGGGACTTTCTCAGTGTCTTTCACAAATGTATATATATTTTGGAGATGTCATTTATTTTATCTGTAGCACAGTGTTGCCAATAGAAAATCATGCTGCTGCTTATAGTGATGCCCACAGAAAAGCTGTACATTAATTACATAGGTATTATAGCTGCACAGAAGTGTAGCTATGTTATTGTGTTTGAGTAAATCTACATTCTACAAGGAAATTCTCAAAATGGGGGAAGCCCAAACAAAAAATTAGAACTTTGGAACTGGACTTTGGATTGGCACCAAATATAGCAGGGATATAACAGACAATCTGCTCTTGATTTATGCTAAATTTGGGGACATTTGGGCAAAAGGTGTTTGAGTTACAATTTTATAAAGTGAAGCTGCTTTATACCCACCATGAAAAAAACCAAGCAATTTTAAATATCTCCAGATTGACATTAGAGCAAATAAATTGGGGAAAAATGTTGTTTACATTGCAAGAGAATGGTTGGTTCCACCTACTTTTTTATTTGGAAAGAATCCAGACTTCAGGAGCTGAAATATTGATCCTCAAAAAAGGCCTTTCAAAGGGGTAATACAAGCACTTTGTTACAGGACTGAGCATGTGTGGGACAAGCTTGCCAGCAGGAGCTTGCTTGCTTGCTTTATTTTTATATATATTCAGAAGCTCACTCATTTAAATTGTGAAATTACGGTTTTTTGTTTATCTTTTTTTCTTTTCTTTTCTTTTTCTTTTTTTTATTTTATTTATATCCCGCCTATCTAATCAATTAACTCTAGGCGGCTTACAACAATAAACAACAACAATACGGTTAAAATAATTATACAAAGGAAAAGTTACGACAAGATGGGACAGAACTAAAGAAGAAAAAGGAAGGGGGATCAGGAGTTAATAAATGGGAAAGCCTGCCAGTACATCAAAGTTTTTAGTTGTTTTTTAGTTGTTTATCTTGTTTTTTGTTTTGTTTTTGTTTTTTGCTTTGTGGCTGAGGATGGTCTTACTCAATAGAGTTTTGGTGCCTGTATCCTTTCATAGTTTCAATCATTCCACCTATCTTGTCACTGTACAATTGTCTAGTAATTAAGAAAAATATATTAATGTGCCATCAAGTCACTTCTGATGCGTTGTCACTATATGAATTAGTAACCTCCAAAGTGGTATGTCGTTAAGAGCTCTGCTTAGATCTTGCAAATCAACAGCATCTCATATTAAATTGTTTTCTTTTCCTACTGCACCTCCTTCCCAGAAATAGTCTTTTCCAGTAAGGTCTGCTCAAGTCTTGCAAACTAACAAGTGTGGCTACCTTTAGTTAGACAATCTGTCTCACATTAGGCCTTCTTCTCTTCCTACTGCCCCCCATTCCCCAGCAGTATTACTACTGCACAAGAGTAAATTGACATTTTACAAGACAGTTCTAATAATTGGGGCAGTCCTAACAAAAAATTCTAACTTTGAAGTTGTACATTTAAATGTTTGTGTAAAGTGCCATTGTAACGATCGCCCCACATCACTCATGCCACACATAGTCATGATCTAATTTGCATGCGCCTATGAGAGGATTGGAGGGGTCCAATCCTCAGCTGCTATATGAAGGTTTGGCAGGAGGAGGGGGAGTCAGATAGAAATAGAGACAGTCAGAGAGACGGTTAGAGAAAGAGAGAAAGAGAGAGAGAGACATAAGAGACTGGATAGTCAGAGAGAGAAGGAACAGATACTAATAGAGATAAAGCTGGATAAGATAAATAGAGAAAGCGGTAATTATATGGCAAGAGAAAAGTATGTATTGAGAGATCTGTTAATGGTTTGCTTGTGTACAATGGTCATCTGAAGAACTTCTGTGATTATTAAATTGGCTTCACTTCAGTAAATAAGTTCTGTTTGCATTCACAAGACTAGTATTTTGACAAACTTAATTTATATTGGATTAAGGTAATCCACAGGTGGCAGTGAGAGGAAAACACGACTGGAGCCTTTGTGAGGGCACAAAACATAGGTGCCACAAAGGGTGAACGCCACAGCCATCAAGTTGGAATTTCTAAGGCAACCCTAGTAGGGCTTTCAAGGTGAATAAAATATTTAAGGGATGTTTTCTAAGTTCCACACACAGACACTCGTGAGTTTCCATGAGCAAGCAGGGATTTTAACACAGGTCTCCTACTCCCAGGAGGCCTAGTCACTCTATTTACTATACACCACATTTAAAATAGAAAGAGGTTGATGCTACAGGAGACAGTAAACATTAGACAACAAATAATAAATAACATGGGAAAAAGGCTTCACATGTATTTTCTCAGTGAGTTAGACTGCTGTTACTATTCCCATTGTGCAGATATTTCTGAAACAGGCAAGCGATCATTCTGCAATGAACCTGCTTATTTTCAGGTGATTTTTTTTTTCATGTACCACAATCTACATTTATTCAAATACAGTCACGCCATCTTCTGGTTGCTGCACAACGGTGGAGAGTGGGATTTCACTTAACTGGGACTTATTTTGGGGGTAGGGCTTATATTACGAGCATCCTGAAAAATCATACTAGGGCTTATTTTCAGGTTAGGTCTTATTTTCAGGAAAACAGGGTATCTATGGCTGCCTGGTGAGTAGGCTTGCATGATATCCAAGGGTTTATACATGAGTTTATATGAGAGAGATTCCAAAACATGCAGATCAGCCCTGCATGGGTCCTAGATTGCCTAAGCCCACCGGATAAATTGGTGGTTGAAATTAGATTCAAACTGAAACAAAACAAAGACCGTATCTTGGAAATGATTTTTACAGAACTGAAAGGCCTCACATGTACAGGCCAAAATCCTATTGCAAGGTTAAGTAATAGGATTTTGCCATGGAAATTAAATTCTCTTAGTAGAACTTGTTTGTTCTCATCTAAGCTGTTCGATTTTTTTCCTAGTTGTTTTACTTTGGGGGCAGTAAGGCTATTCATCAAAATGTATTCATGCTTTAACAGTGGGACAGGGAAAACTGACAATATTTTATGAAGTATTGAGTTACACTAAAGTGCACCTTACATCCCAATTCCAAAGTAGGGCAGTGCCAAAGAATGGTCCAACTGCTATACAATAGCACTCATTTCACACACTAGCAAGGTTATGCTCAAAATCCTACAAGGTAGGCTTCAGCTAGACAGCATCTTAAAAGGCAGAGACATCACCTTGCCGACAAAGGTCCACACAGTCAAAGCTAGCGTTTTTCCAGTAGCAATGTATGGAAGTGAGAGCTGGACCATAAAGAAGGCTGATGGCCGAAGAATTGATACTTTTGAATTGTGGTGCTGGAAGAGGCTCTTGAGAGTCCCCTGGACTGCAAGGAGAACAAACCTATCCATTCTGAAGGAAATCAACCCTGAGTGCTCACTGGAAGGACAGGTCCTGAAGCTGAGGCTCCAATACTTTGGCCATCTCATGACAAGAGAAGTCTCCCTGGAAAAGACCCTGATGTTGAGAAAGTATGAAGGCAAGAGGAGAAGGGGACGACAGAGGACGAGATAGTTGGGCAGTGTCACCGAAGCTACCAACATGAATTTGACCCAACTCCGGGAGGCAGTGGAAGACAGGAGGGCTTGGCGTGCTCTGGTCCATGGGGTCATGAAGAGTTGGACATGACTTAACGACTAAACAACAACAAAATTGCAGCTGTGCAGGGGGTGTTTCCTGCTGATATTGTCAGTCTGTGTTTATGCTGTACTGATATGGGCCCGGGGGAGGGCCGGCCATATGAAACTGTTCCTTGCATATATTAAGGGCCAGTGTCTACATTGATTGCTTTGTGCAAGGAATTTTGGAATGATACAGTGTTCTGTCGTGCAAATCCCTACTTGTAATCTGAAATAGCAGAGCCTAAACATGTGCTTGGCCGTCATTGAGAATTGATCCAGTACGTTGGGAATGAGTTTCAGTCCCTGTTTAGATGAGGGCCTAAATCCAGTATATCATTAAGAAAGTGAAAATCCCAAGTAGCAATGTTGCATTAGATTACATTGGTGCAGAATAGGTTGTACTGGTGGTTATGCAATTGTTTGAGCAATAAAACTAATACTGGATTTCACACACTGGAAATGACCAGATATTAGTTCAGTAGGGTCTAAACTAATGGGTTAATACCGGTAGATAGAGGTCTTAAAGTTTTCAAATCAGTTACACATACCCTGCCAGAGTTTCTATGAGTTTCAGGTTACAAATAAAATACAGATTTTTCTCCAGAGGCATAGTTCCTGTCTCTTATTTAAATAATGGCAATTCATATAATATTCAAAGTTACATATGCCATCTTGGTCTCTTATTCAAATGCCCAGTCCTAAGGATTATCCATGTCTTATTTCACTGTTAAAAGGGATGTACAAGACTGTTCTCACACAGCGTTAGGCTCTCCCATCAATACAGGAGCAGAGCAAAGTCCTGTCTGAGCAATCAGAAAACAGTTTATTTTCCAGTGGCTTGGAAGTGCTTCTACATTAGCTTCCAAATGCAGTTTTGGAATATACTGTAGAAATAAAAATTGGTGGGGCAGGAGCATATGGAAACATGATCGTGGTGAGACAATGTCAATGGGTTTCAAATATAAATTCAACCAGAATTGACTTTACAAAACTTGATACAGCTTACGGTAGAGATAGCCATTCGGTGGCCTTTGAGATAAATCGAGCCCTTGTCTGACTGCTGGACAAACAAGATTAGATTGATGAAAAGGTTTCATGGAGAAAAGTATTCTCAAGTTGTAAGAAGAGTTTTGTCAAGTTGGAACAGTTTCAGATTACAGCTCTGTGTTCGTTTATGTAGCAGTCTGGTTGATGTTTAAGTGAATGTGCTTAAT